GAGCGTACAATTAACCAGACGTACCAAATTAAAAATTCTTAGAAAAAATGAAAAAAAATATGAGAATGTTGAAAGATATGTACAACCGATCATTGAGCCGAAAAAAGTTCCCATCGACATTCTGATCGATATTTCAATTAAAATATTTTAAAAATGCTTTTAAGAATAATAATATCGCTAGAGTAAGTTGTGACAGAAAAGGTTCTGCTTGGAGAGACATAGTTCATTAATTTAGGATGAATTATACACAAAAGATTAAATAAATTTTATCTATACGAGTTTAGTTGTTAGTAATAAGTTTCCTTGATCATTCATGTTCAGGAGAATTGTATCATCGAAACTTTCTCATAAATACAGTTGTGCACCATATATTCTAAAGAAAGTAAAATGCGAAAGAGAGAAAGAGAAAGAATCCATATCTTTCTCCCTTCATGGCGTACCGTTAATTATTAATGACCGCGATGATGGTCATCGAGAGCGAAAGTATATTCGGTATCCTTCATCGGATATCCACCCTTTCCTCACAGTCTGTTACCCTTGTACCTCAAACTTCTCGATAGTGTTATTAGCCATCGATGCAAGACGAAAAAGAGAACGACTACAGCAAAGTTCAGAATTTTACTCCGTAAAAAATTTTGAAACGGAAAATTATCCTCACCACCCTTTTTATTTTTAAATATAGATTCCATTTTAACAGTTTAATAAGAAAAAAATACAAACTACTGTAACTATAAAATTAGGTAAGGATAAAATCATGGATCTTTCTTTAAAGATATAAATTACATTTTAGATCTTGTTGAATATTCACGGGAGAGATATTATGTAACCGGGCAGAGCAAGCAATCTATAAAACCTTGTTATGCGGAAGTTATGCGACGAAACAAATTCCAAGAAGAGAGGAGGAGAGTTTTGTGAATAAAAGTTACACAATCTACACGGAATGAAATAAATTCCTCAGCGGAACGGAAGCCACAGGCTATATAAAATATGTTATATTATAAAAGAATCTGCAGAGTTATCTATAAGAGGTGTCATAATATTCATAAATGCTTTAACCAATATTGTGCTCATTGAATTATTCCTCGATTAATTAATTTTAGTCAACGCCACCTTAACTATTTGTTACTCATTACGTCATATTGTACATTTCAATTCATAATATTCATGATGAATATTGATTGAAAATTACTTCAACCTTCTACTAAAATCCGGTTAATTTTAACTAATTGTTCGAGGAATATGTCCTTAGAAGTTGAATCTTCTTTCTAAATCGATATCTTCGATGTTTCCCATCTCGTAGATCTCATCGCATTTGAACAGAGGGAAATTGGAACGGAGGGATGGCATCGCATAAAAATAGTAACGGATTCCTTTTAACGCATGGTAGCGCGATCTTCTCCCAGATGGGCATTCCTGGTCAAACCACATCCCGTCCTCCGCCGGCGATATTCAAGGTGGTTTCTTGCGGTGCGTCCTCTCCCTCTTTTCTCGTTCCTTTCGCTTTTCTCACCGCGGTTATTTCCAACTTGACTCGCTCCTCTGCCCCGCGAATACTCTTCTCTTTCTCAGTATGTTTGGCCACTATTATGCAGTTGCACGCGCGCGTGCATCGGCGGACCACTATCGCGGTCTCGATACGACAGGGGTCTCAATACCAATTACGCACCCGTTCGTTTATTTTGCGGCTTTGCGTGTTACAGATCTTACCGTAATGCCCTTTTGTATACAGCGCCAGGATTCCCTCGTCGCTTCCCTATTATATTCTTGCATCTCTGATATTATACCGGCGTAGCCTACCATTTCGTCTCTATCCTATTATTGCCTTACGACTGAATCAACATGATATAAAACGTTATAATACCAATTAGAGATACTCCCCACAAATATAAATATTTGTCCCTTTAGCTCCAAATTGAACAGTTAAAGTGTTACAATATAAATGAGAATTTTATAAACGTCGGACGAATGAAAGATTAATACTTTTCTGCAGTGAATAACTTACTTAGTATGTCTATTTTATATTAGTGACTGTAAATGCAAATATTTCCAATTTAAAAATAAAATAATCAATCATATATCGACGGGTTAAACCGTTTATTATTATTAATTTGTTATATTATTAGTAATAATAATATAATATAATAAAATTCGACTCTTTTTATTTCTTCTATTATCATATATGACGACAATAAACGTAATTTACTCTTGTGTGTGTTTTATGTTTTATCTAATATAAAAATATAATTATAAACTTGATAAAAATAAGCATACAATTTCATTGTCTTTCAAGTATTAAAAATCGTGTGTCAGACACGATACTTAAAATACTCATAAGTCATTCACATTCTTAACAACTGGCATCTTTTGACTGACGGTGCGGGACGAAGAAGAGACTGAAGGTGGAGACCACTTCCCTTCGTGAATGTTCAATCGAGTGGGAAAGTCGTTGGCACCACCGTCGTGAGAAATACGCGTCAAACGCAGAAGAGCGAGAAGACGAGGAAGAAACTCGATTCGCTCGTGACCGATTTTCTTTGCCTACCGGCGGCGACAGCGGCAGCGACGGCGGCCGCTCGCGCGCAGATGGCGGGAAGAAAATCTGGAAAGGAGTTGGGTGGCGGGACAGGGGGACCGGGATGCCAGTTAACGTCGTAAATCGCATCCCTCGGAATTTATGCGTAATCTACGGTGACCTACGGCGAGCGGTTTAATGTTGCAGAGTTATGCGCCGGGGATACACTCGCGCGCGCGCGTTAGCACACGCTTCGTGCCACACATGACACGTATACACACGCACGCGTGCATGCGTACGCACTTAGGTATACGTAAGCGACCTAGCCCAATCTCGGCGGCCCACGCCGAGTCACAGAAGGGCAAGGGAGTAGCTCCGCGCATAACGCATTCCCCGCGGACGAAGAAGGCAAAGAAGAAGAGAGAAACTGAGGAAGAAAAGGAGGAGGATGAGGAGGAAGGAAAAGAACGCGGCGAGGAGGAAGGCCACGGTATAAGAGTTAGCAGGGCGGTGCGTGGGTCACAATGCCCTTAGGCCCTTCCTCCTCCCCCTCTCTCCCCCTCTCCCCCTTCCTTTCTATACCGGAGACCTCAGCTTTTTCTTCGTCTTCAGCATCAACTCGACCTCTTCTTCGTTCTCGTCCTCGTCGTCACCGTCGTGGTCCTCCGCGACCGTCGTCGGTGCGCGCCGCGACTCGTTATGGAAAGCACACGGGATATTGTTGCTCGTATATATGGAGAGTACCAGGGAAGCGCATCGGGCTTGTACTATGCAGATGATTCCGCGATATGGGCTATTCATTGTGAGTCATTTAAGAGTTTATACGCGGTCGGTGCACACATCTATATACACGGCCGCGCCGTGATATGTTATTATATTGCGTATTGAAAGCTCTCCGAGGTACACGGCATATTGCACGCACGAGAGAAAGAAAGAATTGGAAATCCGCGCCGGAAACGCAATATGCTCCTTTACTCGTCTGATAGTATCATTCGCTATTTGGATCGATGACGCGAAATAAGAAGATAACTATGAACTCATTACAATAGTACACATGATAGAGATATATCTTTCCCCCTTAGTTTTTTCCTAATATATTATTTATTTAATATCTTTAAAATTTTTGTGATACACGTAGAAAGATATTTGACACTTTCCGGAAAATATTTGTGTTTAATTTTCTGTCATCCGCATTAAATCTGCACATGTGCTACTGAGATATTGTAATTTATTTAAAAAATATAGAGGTTTTGTAATTTTGATACCTGATGAATATATGAAATGTTTACAGCGCGTAAGATTTCGGGAAGATATTAAAAAAATTTTCCTTTTAATTTGAATAAAAGAGGAATTTCACAGAGATAAAAATATACTTTCAATAAATTCATACGGACCATCGCGATCAACAATCTGGCGATTAACCGATAAACTCGAAAATACGATAGATTATAGGTACATGTCACACGCTCGCTATAGGTTCATCCACGCGAGACATTCATGTTTCCTTGACGGTGTCCTGGTTTCACAATGAGAACTAATGCGTAATCGCACGTCGATCGCGTCAATTGATCAGATTAACATTCCGATTAGACGATACGCGGCGATACTTCCTGTGGAGTTCCCGAGCGCGTTACGTGCGGTATGTACCCGACGACGGCCTCGGCGGCCTCGACGGCGTCTGCGATTACGATCGTCGGCGTGGTCTTTGCCGGAATACCGATGAATAAACAGGGGAGAGTCGTGATAAGCGCCTGAAGCCGTAGCGCGCCGGCACGCATTATGCATGCGCGAGAGCGAGAGTAAATGACGGAGGTGGCAGCGCTGATGATGGTGATGATGCAAAACGCGATGATAATAATAACGACGACGTGGACGTCGTCGGGAATGAAACGGACACGCGTCTGCCTGCCTGCCTGCCTGCCTGCTTGCCTGCCTGCCCGCGTGCATCTTCGCGCGCGTCCTCCGCTTCGAGGGGGCGAGTTTTTCCAGGCCGGCGGGGCCCGTCGAGGCTTTGCGCCTACGATACATCCCGTGAATAGAAGTAGCGGAATGGAAGGCCGCGACGATCGGTCAATCGTGTGTAATTGGCGAAACGGCGATTAACATAAATGACGAAGGCAGGGGACAGGCACTTTTGTTAGTTGCGTCGGATGGATTCGATTGTATTTCGTCGCGCCGGAGTCTCCGGGAAACCGCGTGATCAACTGATCAATTTGAATTCAAGCTAATCTGCTTCATATGATTCGCGTGAATTTAATATTACGCGATCAGATCAATATAACATGTAATCTCATTTGATATTTCTCCTCATCGCGTCATTTCGAAGCCTTTTAATTAATAGTAAATGCATACAAATGCACGGAAAAAAATTTAGCTAAGTCGTAAAATATGGATAACTAATATTTTTTGCAGTAAGAGTTATATTTTTTTTGCAGCGAAAGCTATAGTTTAGCAATAGTAGCAAAACCTTTTGTTCTCGCTGCAAAAAATGTTACTCTCGTTGCAAAAAAGGTTAGTTATCCATATATTACGACTATTTTAGCTATAGTAGCTAATCTTTTTTTCCGTGTGGGAATTATGCTCTGTACGTGTTCTCCAATCGATATGTACACGAGATCTATAGAGACATTCGAGATCAATATTGCAAATGACATCAAAATGGAACTATTAAGAAGAAGTGTCGAAGTGTCGTGAAAAAACGCCAATTGTGGTCTAATCGATTCCTCTTGTCCACCTCATTTTCCGCGCTATAAATTCTCAGATCGGATAGCGGTTGGATATGATCCTCCGGGATCTGAGAAGTAAATTATGCTCGGAAAGGTTCGGATGAGAAAGTGGTAGTTATATAGAGATAGTACTTCGAAAAACGCTGAGTCGCTGAATGTAACATGCGATTTTTCTGTTTCGTTTCAGGAGGATTATAGTCAACGCAGACGCTTATCGACACCTAGCGGCAGCCCGAGCCCTCCTAGACCGACCAGACTCTCGAGATCCACCGGCACTCTCACCAGAGAGGAAGAGTCCTTCTGCGAGTCCAGCAACACCCTGACCAGGGACAACCAGGGCCAAGAGGCGGAGAGGAAGGGCTGGTTCAAGTCCCTCTCGAGGAAGAACAAATCCAATGCCGCAGTAAGCGTCATTTTCTATTCCTGACAATTTTATTTTCCTATTTCTATTACAACTTTCCTATTCTTGCTTCTCTATTCCTAACTAAACTTCCTAATTTTATCAACCCTGCTAACGATAAGATTGATCGCTGACATATGTATCTATGAAAATCTCAATCAACCAACAAATTTCTATACATATCTAATCTGCTTTCTGAAAAATATTATAAGACATAAGAAATTCAATTCTAAAAACTTAAAAGATGCATTTAGGTTTTTTTTTTTCAAAATCCTGAAAAAGATATAATTTGTTGCACTGAATTCTTTAATAATATAGCTTACAAGTGGATATAAAATATTTCCACGTCGGTTGACATCATTTTCAAGTTCGTATGAAGTAATCAGATGCTCAAAAACACCGACGAACGAGTCCACGTGTCTTTCTTCGAAACCGGCGAGTCAGGTGGGCGAAAATGATCGTATACTAGAAGTCGTCAAGGGGAAACGTCATCGTATTTGGACTCGAACGGAAACTCGCGGCAAATCATCCCTCTAAGAAGCCTAGAATCTTTTTCGCGGGTATTATCCGATAACGAGCGGATTCTCCTGGATCGTGCCGTGGTTATCTCGCGCGCAACTCGCGCACCAGTCCCGTGCGCATTCATCAGTCAGATCGCGGGTCGCTGCGCGGAGCCATTAGGGCAGCGCAACCTCCAATTACCGGTTTGATTAAATGCTTAACTAACTCCGCGCTCTGTGGTTTAATTTAATCGCGAGATTAAGTGCCGATCAGGAGGTTGCTTGCCTAGCCCTATAAGCCGACCATCGTCCCGCGCGCCCGCGCGCGCACGGGAATAATCTCTGTCAGGTCCCGATTCTCCTCCGATCTTGGGCAGCGGAAAGAAGAGGAGAGGAGAGGAGACGCCGCTCTCCTCGCGCGCGCGCGCGCTCGTTCGAGATGATTGCGTGCGTATGAATCTCGCCGTGGACGATGATCTATCGGATGAGTCGGCCCGGGGAGAATCATGACTCATGAAGGCGCCGTGCGATGCAACCACGGGGGGAGGCCGCGATTTTTGCGAGCCGCGGGAAGAATACAGCTTTGTACACGCTCGCGCGATTTTCTCCCAGCCGACCGAGAGACGGGGCTGCATGGATTCCGAAAAATCGCGACCTTCGATGGAGGCCAGTTATGTCTGACTTCGCGCTCGTCTCGAACAATTGACAAAGAAGAGTCGGGTCTACGTTACGTACTGTTTCGCGTCGTATACTCTATTTTCTCGCATTCCCGTTAGTAGCTTATAGCGTCCTTAATATTTATCCTTAATCTTATATTATTCCCTAGAGGACAATGTCTCAGAACAAACGTGTAATAAGTTTTTATCGGATAAAATCTTGTTATTCACTTGACTTTTTATGGGATATATTTATACTGCATTTTTTCTTCTATCAGATAAAAAATGCACTTGTCATTATAGATCTATTATTTAATTATTCGATTAAAATAGTATTCGCATTTGCTGAACCTTATTACAATAAAATGAGAAATCTTGATGGTAAAAGATAAAAAATTATATGGTTTAAACATACGGAAATCTCTCTTTTGTATCTCTTATACTTAAAAAAAGATCCTTTTTTTAAGTATAAAAGAGAGACGATCTCATGAAGAATTAGTTAAGCTATAGTCAAGGTTAATCGAGACTGGCAAAACCGCCCCTAAAAGTCGAGAAACCGAAGCCAAGTATGTGCTTAGCTATGAAAATTACATAGTGTCACAGAATAATATATCATTACAGCGATACGTTTCAATCTATCGCACTTGCGAAGTTCGTCTTCTGTGCGCGAAATTATAACGTTCGATAAATCGATATTTGGAATAAGCGGACGTAATTGTTATACGCAGAAATAATCTGTGCGCGGCTATATTTGGTGTCCCCCCCTTCCCTCCGCCCCCTTCGAGATCATGAATAATGAAGCGTCGATAACTTTGCAGCCGGTGGATAAAAAGCCGAGAATACCCGAGAGCGAGATCTTGACGACCGGCACCGAGGATGAGGAAGCTTCCTCTGCGCCTGAACGAGTTTCCGTGCAAAAGAATCTCCGCTTCTTCGGCGATACGGATCAGGAGTCCGTCTCGTCCAACAGAGACCGCAGGTAAATATACGCTATAATATAAACCGCGTATAGGTATAATACACGACCGGTTGAATATTTCGCGCAAGAATGAATTTAAATATTTCGAATGTCGACCAGTTAACTTTCTTATCGTCATTACATTTTCTTCTAATTAATATCGTCATAAACAAAAATATAATCGTCTACTTCAGCTATTCATTTTGCTTTAATTATTAAATCTAAATAAATTGGTTTTTTTTCAAAAAATTATAAGATTTACCTTTTATATATTCTTATCAGAGAGAAGATAATGTATATATAGTTAAATAAATAGATAAAAATATAATTTAGACCACGAAAAGGTTTAATTACTTTAATTAATTATTTCAGAAATAAACGAGTTGACGACCATGCCTGCTCGAGGCGTGATGTCACGAATTCGAATCGCCGGGGTATCATATCAGCCCCAAGAAAATCGAGACTCGCTGAAAGCGCATTATCATCGGGCGAAAGTACAACCGGCGATAGCAGCCAGCAAAGTCAAAATTCTCAGAGATCGCAGAGATCTGTCGTGTATCTTCACGCTGCTACAGGTACAATAAAAAAATTGTACTTCTCACATAGCATTCACATAGTTATTGTTATAATTTTATGTCTTATTCTAAAAAAAAAAAAACATTTGCGATATTGTAATTTACTCTCCATTGCAATATATATTTAATTTCTTGTTTCAACAATCCAAAAACTATTCGAAAAAATAAAGGATTGTAAGTATAATGATAATTTAAATCGATTTCATCGTAATAAAAATATCGAAATGTTATTGATACTTATTCATGTTCTGAACAAACGAAATATCTTTCGTGAATTAAGCTTCTTAGATTAAAATAAATAAAATGGCATTTGCTTAAATTAAAAATTAAAGTGATAAAAAATATTGATTAATCCATTTTTTCAAATACATAAGCAATTTCTTCAATATCTTGTATATAACATTGGGTTGAAACATTATCACTGTCCAATAACAGTCATGCTCTATGAAGCATATTATTCATCGAACACTTGGAATTCTGCAATACTTGTCGCATTTGCGTCATAGAAAATGTATAAAAAAATATCATATCGCATTTAACCATGCGATCTATGGTGATCTATGTGAATAACATTCGGCAGTGAAAGTACGGAAAATGTCGTCAAGCGTAACCGCACTCTAATTGCAACTCAAGACTGATATCTGCATTCCAGTCGGCGAAATACCAGGCCCGAATGAACGACGCCGTGCGGCGAGTCGCGAGGAGTTAAATCGACCGTTGCAATCGCACACGAGAACGGTGTCGAGGAGCGTGAGCGTCCTTGCTCCGTGGAAGCCGCGACATTATAGGGAACCGTTTGAGATCAACTACGATCAGCAACAGCATGCAAAACCGATCGCGACCATGAGACGCAGGCAACGAAGTCGCGAAACCCTCAGCCGCCGAGGAAAGGAAGCACGGCGAAGCAAGGACAATCTTTCTAAGACAAGTAAATGCTTTTACTCTTGAGCAAAATAACTAAATGCCCCATTAAATGAAATAAATAAAATTCCGTATCCTTAAATAAAATTAACTAGTAAGCATCTATGTGTAGCAATAAGCATTTCTTTCTTTTTTCTTCTTAATTTTTACTAATAACAATTCGCGACGAATGTAGTGAACAAGTCCCTTTCAGTAACTGTTTCTTTCAAATTCTTATCCATAATATAAAGAAAAAATTGATTAACTTTAAATTAGCGTTAATTTGTGTCAATGTATTATTTAAGAAATGAAAACATTTGCGTCAATCATTGCAGGTACGATCAATCGCAGCACGCTAAAACCGAAGGACAAGCAGAAAGTGGACAGAACTGTTTCCACGGAATCGCTGGCCACCAAATCGCGAGGCATCGGCTCCAAGACGGAATTGAACAGATCCACGTCCGTGCCCCGCGACCCGAACAAGAGCGCGGGATGGTTCAAGCTAAAGAGCAAGAAGTCCCGCGCCTGAATTGGGCGGCCATTGATCAATGCTAGTCTCGAGTTTCATAAGTGTAATTCGTAATTTCGTGTAGGCGATTAATAGGCGTCGATATCTGGCGCGCGCTGATTAATAACGACGCGACTTATCGATAATACACACCGTTCTCAAACACCGTTTAACACATGCACGCGAGTGCGTCGATCGCGATCGCGCGGGTTTTAATTTTTTTAACCGAGCAGCATATGATTGCGGCAACAACGTGTAAATTAATTGCTGCTCAACACATCGATCGGTTTTGCGAATTTATGAAATTTGTGCTACTTAAGACACAAAGTTATAACCCCCCCCCCCCCCCCGCATAAATAGATATATATGTATATCTATACGTAACAGAATAAAACAATTATTCAAATATACATAGGCACACGCGAAGAAGCTTCAAACCTCAGTTACTCGTCAAATTAATATTGTTATACTCTTTGCGCATTAAATAACGTTTTTTTGTAACAAAGAAGATTGCAAAAGATCAAATGTAAACTCTTGAAAAGTATAATATTAAATATGAAGTGTATTCTAAAATGAGAACCTTCTCAATCTATCGTTACATTATCGTTAATAGCTTTCTCTCTGCCAAATTTAACGGATTAAATTTGTTGCGAATGATGAGAATGCGTTCATAATATATTCATATTATATCGTGAATTAACATGTCATCGTGTATTAACTTTTGTTTCTCCTTCGGGATTTGACAAAAAGTGCTTCAAATTTTTCATACTTTCACGTAACTAAATCCATATGCGTTGCGCATCTCATGGGAAAATTAACGCGTCACTTTATTCTACCGTGGATCAAAGTGCCATTTCTCTACATTCCTATAGTGTATACACCCTTCGTTAAATAAATTGAAATTCCCGAATATATATATTTTGAAACAGACAACACCTTTCTTTATAATAAACGTTAGTGTAATAAAGAAATTCAAGAAAAATATTTTCTAAATTTTATCTCGATAATCGAGAGATTAATCTCGACGTGTAAAACGGACAGTTACGTATAGCGATAGCTACCGAACATTTCTCTGTGCACAGATCAATCTAATCTTTGCATGCTTATTGTATATAAATACTTGTGTTGATAATCATAATTTTTAATCTATTTTTACTAGGACCTATGCGTGTTTTCATATAAATATATAAATATAACTCTTTTCTCTGTACATTCATGGATCACAGATTACACATACACTGTTGCGAAATTTTCACGTTCGACCCAGGTCGAGACACTTTCGTCACTTCCGATAACAGTGTAGCGGAATAAAACGCGCGATGCTAGACATTATCTGTTGTACTGTGATACGCTTTTGCGTGTGAACAAAGAAACAAATTAATTACAGCGACATAGTCATCTTGCACCATAATTACTATCTCATTCCTATCCGGTGCTACTTACGTGTGTGTGTACATATATGGATCATTAGACGATATGCATGTAAATATCATGAATATTGACGATATTGTACGGAATTATGAATAAAACCTATTACCTATTAACACAGACATTACTCCTCTTTATATAAGGTCCGTTCAACGCGAAAACAGAGACCACGTTATATCTTGTAACAAAATTAATAAACGCAACGATGTAAACTAGCATATCGTTAATAACAAAATATATCAATGTTAAATGTTTCATAATATTAGAAAGCAAAATCAAGTCGTGACTTTGCTTCGTTGGAAAGAATTATATGTGTTAATCATTGTGGTACTCACATTACACAGGAGATGGATATGGATTAGTTGACGGATAATGGACGGATGAACAGGAAGAGAAAGGATAGCGATGTGTGCGTAATGATTGTTGTCTTAAGCGTGCATATCACAATTCCACCGTTTTATTCACTTTGTCCCAACAACACAACGTGGTCCCACATAGTACAAGCATCATTCCCAGATAGGTATCTGGAAAATAAAGCAAATCGTAAAGTAACTAATTCATAACATTTTCCAACAATACGAAAACAATTTCGCTTGTACTCACTTCTGTGTACCTTTTCCTCGCCCAGGAACCAGCCTGTGATCGCAGTGAATACGAAGGTAAGGGAATTTGAAACTGGCACAGCCAGAGATAAATCGGTGCTCTGCAAGGTCAGGAAGTACAATACCGAACCGCACTGATTAACTAGAAACGGCAGGAGATACTGTGTGTAAAGAAATAAAACAAAAATTAGAGAAATGCCATTACGCTTATAAAATAAAATTAATTTGATAAAATCTATGTAGAGATGTGATAAACCTTCAGGTTAGTGATGAGAAACGCGATCTCCTTGACAAATTGCCCGTAAAAAGACGTGGCCTTGACATCTTCCAAACCTAGCGCACCTTTCTTCATGAACGGATTGGTTACTCCCCAAAGAATCGCCACAAGACACAGATATATCACAGAATCTGCAAACATACACATTGACACTCAATGAACACATCGCAGTCAAAATGATATATAGGCTGCATTCCGATATTCACTGTCAGTACTGCAAATCTATATTTTACGTCACGTATACTATAGATTTTCAATACTGAAAGTTGCTGACAGTGAATATCGGAATGCAGCCATAATTTTGACGTCACATTGACCCAAAAAATGACGTAAATTTAATCAATATGATGTCAAATTGACATCACTTTAATTTTCTGTTCTCCTTAAACATTATGATTGTTTTAATCATGTTCGTAATATCATCGAATCTCTGCTTTTATTTTCGCCTTCGTACTCGAAAAATTACTTTGCAACAAATGAAGAAAAAAAGATCGTTAAAGCTAAAATATCTTACCAATAGTGACCGCCATTCTCGTCGGTTATCTAACGTGGAAATCGTGGAATATTACACGATATATATATTTATCAAAATTATATCATGATTACGCGCATCAAATGGCACGTAACGGCAGGTCGCGTCATGAGAATTAATTAACACATTGAATGCCGGACTTGCTTGTCTCTGTTCACACCAAAGTGGAAATTTTCGCTATTAGATTCAGCTTATATTAGATTTACACTATAAACGTTACTTTTCACGAATTTTACAAATTTTTTCGAGTAGGTCACCGATCACCGGTGACCAGCGACCAGCGCGAGCAATCAGAACAATGGCGGCCGCAGGATTGGCGGGCAACGTGGCGTTCTGAAAACTGAAAGTTAAAATGGCTGCGTTCAAAAAGCAACTCAAGGAGCGCTCAGTGATTCTTTAATATGATTGGTTCTTGCCTCGCAAAGTAAGAACCAATGGGGACCTCTCCAGGCACCTTGCAAATATTAATAGTCCAGTTGCAGTAGAATTCTGTAAAGGCCATTGCACGTAACAAAGTTTTAGTTATAAACGTAAGGCCGTAAAAAAATAGACCAATCACACTCGATTATTCTTCGAGCTCAAGGAGAATAATCGACTGTGATTGGTCTATTTTCTTACGGCCTTACGATCATGACTAAAACTTTGTTACGTTCAATGGCCTTAACTCGTTATACTGTCGTTATGTGCTCATAACACAGTTGCGCAGATATACTATGATAAAAAAAGCTGTGCTTATAACGACAATATAACGATAACGATACTGGTCTACAACCTTGCTTTAAAGGGTATTCAAACTCTAAGCCGTAAGAAATTGACCAATCACAGTCGAATATTCTCCTCAAATTCCATTGTAATTTCTTAGGGCTTAAAACACCTATTGTAGACGGGCACTAAGAGAAACTCTCTCGATAACTTACGCCTCGCGATCAATCGTCGATTAATTAGAGTTTAGTCGAAGTCGTTTTTAAACCTTTTAAAAAAGCGGGATTCATGTTTTTAAAAATTATCGTACCATTTATTAGCAAGGAGAGCGAAAGATATTCGATGAATCGGCAACGACGACACAGTCGGAGACTATAAAACGTTATATTAATTGACCGACAAATGTTCGATGGTTTCTAGCTGTTCCAGTTCGATCTTCTTTAAAGAATCGTATTGTACTCGTAATCGTTCCAGTTCCACGGACTTCTCCAAAATTAATGCCTGTAATGAAAATAAACGAAAATCGATTGACGTGATTTCGAATCTAATTAATCGGCAGAATTGCTTATTTGCAACCTTTGTAACTATAGCAAATTTTACAACTATATGTAACTCTCGTCGTTCCTATCTAATATTTTCTTCCTTGTATCAATAAAAAATTAATAATTCTATGCCAACAAAACGTTACAAAATATTACTTGACAAGTCAATCGCCGAAAAAAATAATCGGATGACGGACAGTCAAAGTCAATATTCAAGATAATCAAGATCGTCAAGTTTATTAGAGTGGTCATGGAGATTTGATACTTGTTCAATCAATAAAGATGACTATAAAGGCTATCGCTTTCTTCTTCTTTCTCGTTATGACATTATGGTGTTACCTTAATATTGTAAGATAGTATAAATTCTCGCGACCACTGTTACATATTACTTAAACCTTAAAACGATTAATATACATGTTGCCTTTCATGTAATTAATTTAAGAACCTGCATCTGTTGTTTCTGGGCTTCCCTTTGCTTCGCAACGGAACGCAGTAGATTTCGCGCGCCGATCGTCTTCATTTTCTCTCTCTCCACCTCTTTCGCCAAATTGTCTAATATCCTAACGAATTCGTCGGAATTTTTCTCAAATTCGGTAATCTCTGCAACGTAAAAATTCTCAATCTTCGCGACATTTATGAAGAGGCATTAGCGATTTATAGTAATAGTGCGGTTGACGATGAAGCCCTGAGGTGCAGTTTTTTTTAGATAAAGGGGATATCGGACATAAATCGTTTATTTCACACCGTAATTTTATTTACATTTCATGTCTCGTATAATTATACATTCTTCAAATTATATTTCTTTTGCGAATAAACATTTCGATCGACAATTCATTACAATAATAATAATAGCTATTGTAATTGACATTAATGTCCACTTCAATCAGATTAACTTAAATCAATGTAGATTAACTTAAATCTCGATTTAACTTACTTTTTATCCTTTTCTAGTTATAAAGATTAGAAAAAGATAAAAAGTAAGTTAAACCGAGATAAGTTAGTCTGCATAAAAATGGATATAAGAATATTAAAAGAAAATTCCGAGATTAAAGTTAATCTACAAAGTTTTGACTAAACTCCGATCAACCTAATCTCCGATTATAATTTGTCAAATAATACCAGTATTATTTTTGTTAACATGAATAGAACCATCAATTTTTTTTAGCACTCGAAAAGGAAGATATATAAGAGTAACGAATTGCATACATACTGATAGATAGAAATCTTACAGCGAGCAATTCTGTCGATTGAATTTAATCGCCGGTCGAGTTAATTAAAGCTCGAAATCGCCCCCTAACTGCCATCCGAATCATCCGAGAGTGTATGCACATCTATAGATGTGCGCGCCTTTTTGTGCAGGAACTCATTGAGCAAAGCACACGGTACGGACGGTGACGAGAATCGTGCGGCGAGCGGGTGAGTATATCGTGAGAACGTGAGACCGCCTGGTCAAGTAAATTCTGCCGTGAAACGCCACTCGCAAACCAACGCAAACTTACTGGACACGAAACTCTGACACTCCTCCTTCAGCTTGTTCGTTTGATTCGCCGCTTCCGGCTCTAGGACGCGTATCTTGCTCAGGTCGTCGATGTAAACGCCGTACTTGGTCAGCGAGTCAGCCATCTTCTCGAGCGTACTCACTACTCAGCGTACCCGGCTTGCGAGGATGGCGGTCCCCTCGTTCCGGGAGCGCGGGCGATTCTGATTGGTCCGAGCCCTCGCGATACTTTTCGCGCATCGCAGTCGATCTTAGCCATTCGCCGCCACGTTCAGCGCGTCGCGTTCTCGTACAATTTCTCGTTCGCCGCGCTCGATGACGAACGTGCGGGAAACGGAGCGAAATGGGGATATGTTGATATCTCGCGCGGCTCTCCCGCCCTCCCAATACCCGCGGGAGTGAGCGCGCGGGGACCCCTCCGGCCCCTCGTCGCCGCGACGATGCGCTAAACGACCGCCCGCGCGCGCTGTCACGTCGCTCCGACGCAAACGCGAATCCGTCATCCGTCGGCGATTCGCACGTTCCAATCTGACGTCGAGGGGGATCGATACGCTCCCCTCCCCCCCGTCCGCGCCTCATCCCGCGGCGTCTCGTCCTCGTCTCGCGCGTCAGTACTCAGCACTCGCCTCTCTGCTCGGACCCCCCGGTCGTCACGACTCTCGTTATGTCGGGCGAGCACAAGACCGTAATTAAATACCCGTCGGAGTATGTCAAACTGAACATCGGCGGCTCGCTCCACTACACCACCATAGGCACCCTGCAGAAACACGACACCATGCTGCGCGCGATGTTCAGCGGTCGCATGGAAGTGCTCACCGACTCCGAAGGTGAGGCTTCTCTCGCGAGTCGCGACGCACACATTTTGACATTTCGTCGAGATCGATCAACCTTGAATATCGATCAGTCTTGACGTCCGAATCTGAGGCGCACGGATTTGTCCGATTAATTTGAAAAAAAGGAAAAGAAAGGAATCGCGCTTGACCCCTTTGTGCGTTATTTCCCGAGAATTTTCAACATTTAATCTCGTCGATATCTCCCATTTGTATCCTCGACTCTGACTGGCGGTCTCTGTCCGCAGGTTGGATACTGATCGATCGGTGCGGCAAACATTTCGGGACGATCTTGAACTTCTTGCGAGACGGCTCGGTCCCGCTGCCGGAAAACACGAAGGAGATGGCGGAGCTGCTCGCCGAAGCGAAATACTACTGTATCAGCGAGCTGGCCGAGTCCTGCGAGCAGGCGCTTCTTCGAAAAGAGCGCGAGGCGGAGCCGATTTGCAGAGTACCTCTCATAACCTCCCAGAAGGAGGAACAGTTACTCATAAGCAATACTACGAAACCTGTGGTCAAGCTGCTCATTAATAGGCATAATAACAAATATTCCTACACAAGGTGATATTAAACGCTGCTTTGATAGTCATGAATATCGTGACATTTCGTGATACGTGATACCATTTTTTATCTTTTGCAAATTGCGATCTGAACGTTCCGAATAGGCGCCAATCTGAGCAATTCAAAGTGTAACAAGAGTAACGAGTGTAACGATAAAAAGCTCGTATTACTATGTGGTTTCTTACATAATTTATATCGCAAACTCATATTCTAAATTCGTGAAAAAAAATTTGTGAACGAAATGTCACAATATAGCTAATTGTAGCTGTATTATTATCACAGTCAAGCTCATTAATGCATAAGTGAATTGAATAAATTTAATTTTTGCAGTACATCAGATGACAATCTATTAAAAAACATAGAATTATTCGACAAAATGTCGCTCAGATTCAGTGGCAGAGTGTTATTTATCAAAGATGTTATCGGCTCGAGCGAGATCTGCTGTTGGACGTTTTACGGACATGGTCGTAAGGTGGCGGAGGTCTGCTGCCACTCCATCGTCTACACGACTGACAAGAAGCATACAAAGGTAATGAAATAATATGACAGCGATATTTTAAAACTATGTAACGAAAAATGCTTACCTTTTTTTTCAGGTTGAATTCCCTGAGGCTCGGATATATGAGGAAACGTTAAACATTCTGTTGTACGAGCATCGGAATGGCCCGGATCAAGAGTTAATGCAGGCTACATCGTCGCGCGGCGTAGTACCTTGTACGTCCGACGAAGAGGAGGGCGAGCGTTCAGGATTGGCGCGCCTTCGCTCCAACAAACAGAACACCAACTGACCCAGTCTTGTTCTCCTCAATCCACCGCATACCGCGATCCTCAGCGTCGTTCGCTCGTTCAAGACGCGAATCAATATAAAATGAAGACGAAACACCGATGTATACTAAACGCGAACGCTACGTAATACTGGGTTATCGCCTGCCAGTCGAATCTTTTCCTTTTTCGTTTTTGGAATACATTTTGGAATGCGAGGAAAACTTAACTTTGGCTAGACGACGATCTGTCTCGCTACATTTTCTCACATCACAACACTCTATTTTCGAACATAATCGCGTGCTTTAATTGTTGAATAGATTTCTAAGAAAAATGCGTCGTCCTAATTAACATCAAACAGAATGACAAATTTGTGTCTTTTTGAGTTCTCTTCGCCATTCTTGCTATACAAGCGTGTTTATAAATGTGTATAAATGTGCGACTAAGAATGGCACTTTATTGATTTCCTCTTGAAAATAACTAAAAGAATGTAAATGCTACGCGCTTAATGATTATGTGCCAAATTGTAATTAAATCCGCAACAGGAATAAGTCCAAGTTGCCATTCTGTGACTGATAAAATTATTTATAAACTTATACTCTATGACAACTTTTAAGCAGTCATTTAGATTAAACAAATTGTTATGAAATAATCTTTTTCATAACAATTTGTTTCTCTTTGTGCAAAACTAGGACTGCACTGTTACCTGTTATAAGTATTATTATTTTATTATCATTGTCATCATCACTGTCATTGTCATCGTCATTATTATTAATTATAATATATTAATTTGTCAATTATTATTATTATTGCTTATTATTTTTGTCATTATCTGTATCATTATGATAAATTTTTTCATCGTGTTTATGTTACTCTTTCTTACAAACTTACGTAATTTAATATCTCAATAAATCATATATATTATATATTTGAAACATATATATTGTGTTATTTGAATGTGCGTTTCTCAGCAAGTCCGGAATTCTTAAACTGCTTAAAGGATGATGTGGAGTACAACACTGCCAGTAAAATAAAATTGAAGTTTAATATCAGTCATATATATATATATATATATATATATATATATATATATATATATATAATTTTCGGTGAAACGCGCAATTTTGTTACTTCACTTGAATTGTAAGTGTTAAACGTATTAAATATTAAACGTATTTCTCAGAATTTTCGGATTGAACGGATGTGCAATACATAGTGCAATATATCTGATTTTGAATAAACGAGCTTATTTTGAATTTTCTACTAACACGTCATTCCAAATATATTCTTTCACCGCGTATTAATTTTCTTTATTGATTTACACTTTCACTTATATGACAGAATCGGAGCGATAATCGGAACCGAAGTGTTTTCGGAAGTCGATGCGAATGATATGAATGATAATGATCCGATATCTATTGATCGTAAGTACGATGATTAGGAAACAACAGTTTTTCATTTTATAATAGAGGGTAAATTTGCTCAATTTTCGAAGGTGTTAGATAAGTGAAAGTGGAGTGTAAACAACTACGGACTGTGATTACACTGGCACAGTATATTAGTGTGTAAATATTATTGTGTATTTTAGTGTTGAGTAAAGATGAGAGTTCCCCCATAGTTAATAAAGGGACCATATGTATCGTGTTGGTGTACCTACGTCGTAGGATACCTTTTCATTCATATCTGTAATACGTATGTTATATATTAAATCGAATATATCTATGTTGAATAAAATTGATTTGTAGATTTCCCTGTCTCTCTATGCAATTACATGAACAATTGTAAGGGATTGAACACGGAAAAATGATAATAGAATAATGTCAAAATTTATATATCTTGTACCTTGAAGAGATTTTTTGCAAGAAAAAATACATATTATTTACAAGCTTGGAAAAGAGATCATGGTACAAGTAACTATGATACGGAACGTGATAGTTCAAGTCAATTATAAGCAAGTTTTAAACAAGTAGCAAAAATCTGGCAGAACCAGATTTATTCTGTTATTTGTGCGAAATATGCATTATTCAAATCTTAGCGGCAAAAAAGTGTTTGAGATTCTAAAAATAGAGCATTTACTACTTTCAAAATATTTGACGTGTTCTTTTTTGTGGCAAGAGGGAAAAATGCAAAGCAGGAAAAAAAAAGAGAAAATGGAAACAAGCATTAAGATTGATTCGAGCGACACATGTATTATGAAACAAGATATTATTATACATAAGTGTATGACGGAGTTTGCAGCTAAAGACAGTACATGGGGCGCAAACCTTTCTTCTTGAGACGGAATCGAATGTACAATACACATGTTGAGGAGGTTGTCAACCCCTGAATTGGAAAGGCACGTCAGTTCTTTCTGAATGATACTAGATACGCTTATCTAGTATCTAGTATCTATACACTACTGATCATCTTGCAAACGGTGTTTACATAAGAGTATTGTGATTGCTTTTGCATTTAACTACAAACAATTTCTTCGATGAAAATTACTGTCTACTAACGACTGCGATTACACATGAGTGTCGACAGAAGAATATATATTAGTGGAAAATGTCACAATTGTCGCGAAGGTGTCACTGGGTCGATTCACATTTCTATCATCTACAATGTTTGCCTCACAGAATTTTAATGCAGTTTCGTATGAATCTCTACGATAAAAACACAAAGATTCTGCTATTTCCGTATTACGATCGAAACAGGAATCTTCATGCAACGTGAAAGAGTCTTAACTGTAAAAAATATGACAGTAGGTCTTTATTTGTTCAAGTATTGCCTATTTACGATTTATGTACGTTAACCGTAACGTGAACTTAGAAAGTTGTAGATGTACACGACGACGAGTGTTGGCGGTTAGCGCCACATCAGATTAATAATATTAATTTATAAGTCCAATCGCATTATGTTCTTAGACCAAAGTTCTACAGAGACAGTCTCCGTGCTTAACACGCGCTCTCTTAGTTCGTGTTCATGTTGGGTAGATATCGGATGGAGGAGCTTGATGTACACGTAGGCACGAGTAGATATCTAAGAGCAAAAATATACGAGAGATATACTTTTATCTAATTAGTGCATAAAACTGAATTTCGATAAAATCATTCGAACGTCATTGCTTTCATTAGTTACACGAGAAAACGGAGAGATTTGCTCCCAGATATAATACGTCCTATCCTCTATTTTGCGTTTGTCGGAATACTACAAGTATCTTGCACTTATATTATATTATACCACAAATAATTTTCGCGTTTCTCCAAAAGGAATTTTGCAACTATCGTGATGCCACGAGTACAATAGGATTAGTATTCTGAATTTACCAAAATACCGTAACCGTCATGCGTTTGCCACATCGCGCCACTTTCAATCCTACAATTGTAATCCCTCTTTCTGCAAGACGAACGCCTTTACCGTTCCGCCAAAGCTACGATGTATCTCTATATATGATTCTCTGTATAAATTTACAAAAAACATATTTTTGACATATGCAAATTTCCAAATTCAGATCGTTTCAAACTACTACAGCACTTGACGTAGCTTAACATGAGTACATATCCTTTTTTTTTTGTATTTCTTTAACGTTATCATTAAGACAAGATCACAAATTGGTAACGCGTTATACGCAATTGCCTTAATTACATAATACAGTTTAAACATCTTAATCTATTTCGCACACCCATCCATTCAACCACTATACCCAGGGATTCAAAAATAAATTCTATTCCGTAAAAATAAGAGATAAATGTATTGACTTACACAAATATAAATCCTATAAGCTACGTTTATAAATATATACATTTATGTACTATGTAATCTAAAAACTCAAGGAATATACTTTGTAAGTGCAGCTGGAGCAAATGGGATGATATGTGGAGAAATCTAAGTATCTAATTATTTAACTTAAATATATTAAGACATGGAATATTATAATAATTAGAGAAAATCATTGTAGTTTGAAACAAATGATACTGTGATACAAACACGTATAAATATATAAACTAAATTGGCAATATCTCTCTTATTTAATATGAATTTTCTTTATCTAAATAAAATATATAACGATTCTGATTTCATACTCATATTCCTATAATTCGACAATATAATATATGTTACAATCAAATATCTATTGATCAAGAAAAGAAGAAAAAATATGGATTATATAGAATAACAAAAATAAAATTAAGAAAAAAGAAGAGGTGAATAAAACTTAATTGATATTATTGCGTACATATGCTTTCGTTAGTATCACTGCATCATTTATATAAAATTAGTTTCAATTAATAAATTTGTGTATTTATGTATTAGAAATTGTTAGAGCTATATTAGAATTATATTAGAACTTATTAAATAATAGATGTCAAGTTCTATAAAATTAAAAAAAAAGATTGTACATTTATATTAAGAGTACGTATTATTCATCGTACTTTTATGTCAATAAATGCTTGTGAAATGAATGATCTTTTTTATTTGTGAGTTCAATTTTAAAACTGTTTTACATATTATCATTTTACACAATCTCTTCCTATTTCTGTTGTATTCCTCAATTCTGAAGATTACAATTTCAAATTATATATAAAAGAAAAAGCTCGTATATTGAATTGTTTTTAAGTAATAAAATAAAGTTTAGTGTGAAACAGATTATATCTAACGGCATTATGTGACATTAAATAGATATATGCACAAGATATGAACGTAGAAGAGAAATTTCCTTTCATATGTAAAATTCACTTTATTATAATTGAGAAATGATTGATGTATTATTAAGAAAACTACATTATATCATTCCCACGTGCTCCAATCTAGCAGTCTGTTAGCAGCGACCAATAACACACCTTACGCGCTATTTCATGTGCCTGTTACTGCATAACCAATTGGTTCCAGCTCTCTACACAGTAATATAAAGTTGTTACATAATTTTACATAAACTCACATTCACTCGTCCGCTCCCGGAGATCAGTTCATGACGCATGGTGACTCCTAATTCACATAGCTGCCTCGGTCTTGGCGCGTTTGCAGGGGTTTACCGTGTTTTCTCCCGGGATACAGTCGTTATTTTCCTCAGCGGCTGGCGAGACCGATCGCTTCTTCGTAACGCATACCTCGGCAACGGTGTTATTTTTAACAGTTTCGGTTGCCGGCGATTTAAACTTAACTATTACGGCAGTCATGTTGTCGCAGCCCGTTCCGTCGCCGAGAGTATCCGGTGCAAGGCAATGATCAAATAACTGTAACACACATTAGATCGTTTTTTATCCAGAAGGAATACTTGAAATTTTCTGAAAACAAGATGCGCATGCGAGTAATGTTTAAAAATCATTTTTACTCTTTTAGGCTTATAACGTGATACCATACCTCTTCGCAGATTTTCGAAATGTTCTCGTAATTTTGTGACAAACGGTTGCGCACGAACTGAACGACGTTTTGACTGGTCATGAAATTCCATATGCCATCACAAGCGAGCACCATAAATTCGTCTTTCTCCGGATCGATCGTAATATGCCTTACGTCCGGTAGAGCGGAGATCATCTGTTCTTGGGGTGGTAATACCATGTTTCGCTTATACGCATGATCGCCAAGTGCTCTGGAAAGATTGAGGCCGCCATTCACTCTGCCGTCGCTCGTCACCTCTCCGCCTGCTTTTACTATACGTTCCATTTCCGGTGCGTCTTCGGGCTTATGGTCCAAGCTAAGTTCGATCGCCTGACCATCCCTGCATAGGACACACCGAGAGTCTCCAGCATTGGCCACGTACAGTTCATTGTTCTTGAGTATCGCTACAACCGCCGTGCATCCACTGTCCGAACCAGGCTGCACAAAAACAAAACTCATTATACAACGAATTCACTAAGTGAAAATTTTTAAACAAGTTTTCATTTAACATATTTCATTTAACGATTGTCCCTTTTGTTAATTTTACTCTAGATATTCATGGCTCGCGGTGAGTTTCGATAAATTCTCTGAGACAATCGATATTGTACCTTTTCTATCATTAGATCATCCGTGTCATCGTCTGAATCGTCTTCTAGATCCTCCTCCTCCTCCTCCTCCTCGACTTCGTCATCTTCATCGCTTTCATCCTCATCAATATCTTCTGTATCGTCTCCGTCACTGCAAGAGGAAATCTCGATTTAAAAACAATGCTTAGAAATTAAATGTTTTTTACATCAAGTAACACATGTCTCTATACCTTTCAGGAACACCATCGAAGGTCTCATCATTTTCGTCATCGTCGTCGTCTTCTTCAGAGTCGTCGTTGTCCTTTTTCAGTAGACTTTGGTAAAGATCCACAGGCTGAGTTCTTCTTCGACCACTGCTAGTTATCCGTTCTTGCTGACCCGCATCTCCGTTTTCCACAGGGGTGCAAGAACTGCTCGACACGTTGTCGCCTCCACCCTTACTGCTGTCCGCATCTCCGATCCTCTTCGACTCCGCGCCATTAACTTCCACCTCGTTCGCATTAGACTCCGCGCACGGTGGCGCCTTGCCGGGACTCGAGACTTTCTCTTTTACATCTTCGGAACTATCGGGCATGTCCATAGACTTAGCAGGTTCTACATCCGCAGTAGACACCACCGGTGGAGACGCGTGAGCGCTGCCATTGCTCGTCGTCGAATCCAGCACTTGCTCAGCTTCGTTGCTACCCGGGCAATCGGAATCCTTTCGCTCCACTGTGCTGGACAGAGTCGACCCGCACGGCTGACTGGAACTACTCACGTCCGTTTCGTTCGTATTCCAGTCGGGCGTGGACGCGGACGACGAGGATGACGTCGCTGGCGGTGACGGCGACGATGAGCATCCCGCGCCAGAGGACGAACCGCTCGTTTTCTCACGTCCTCTTCGACCCCGCAAGTAAGGACTCGCGAATGCGCGCTTACCACACTTCTCGCCTTTCAGATTTTTTAGATGAGGATTCGCCACCTCTGACTGATACTTTGCCATTACTTGCTCCAACGGCATCGTCGCTTCCATACACAGATTACTAACATTTTCTTCTTCATCTATACGCAATGTAACGTACGAAGATAATCTTATTAAAAGCTTACTCGTGTAGGTAAGGGGAAAAAATAAATTAGAGCTTGCCAAACGGACAATTAGCAAGAGTATCTGTATAAAGGTAAACCCCGTAATAATGCATATCCTTAATATGAAAAATAACGCACCAGATTCGGTCAGGTCACCCTCCTTTTTCTCCGACGTGGACGTTCCCGCGAGCTCTTTGAGAACATTGACTACCTCCGGCTTCGTAAGGGTATCATCGAAACCGAGGAAAGCGTCTATTAAAGCTTGCCTAATATCGCCTTTCTTGTAAGCTTCTGTCTGTTTGATAAAATCGGGGAGGTTGCGCGCGCAATACGTCGCAACCTCGTGTCCTCCATGACCGTCGTATACGGCAAACAGCGAGACATTCTCGTCAAATTCTATGCAACAATTGTGAGCATCCTGCAAAGAAAGAGTCGCCGTTAGTAATCCATCTTCGACAAGACTTCTTTCTTGTTCTAAAAAGGTAGCAATCAATTGTCTTGGGTATTGTCTGGATCAGGGAATCGAGTGCCAAGAAGTAACATTCTTCTAGCAATGCATAAATTTATCAGAACGAGATACAACATATTTCAATAGACAGTCGATTAACTTCCATTTGATAATACATTCCAAAAGCGTCAACGGACAAGATAAAACAACGATTATTGCGTAACAACTTTGTCGTTCGAGGGAAACTGACAACCGATATTATTGCGGGTATCAGAGAAAGTTACATATCGCCAACGAGATATTTTTGCGACGAAACAACGCCGTGATAATATTGATCGACATGTCGCAAGGATCCCTTATCGGGATATCTCTCGTCTGTTGATAAATAAACGCGTGAGTCGCGAAAGAGTCGTCGACGAGCGTCGGATGCGCCCGGAGCCTCGTCCCGCTCGTCGGTCACGCTCGTTCCCCCGGCTCGAGGGTTCGGCGCGCGGGACGCGTCGGCGAGCGCGCGGGGCGGCCGGTCAATCCGGTGGCCGGGTGACCGGCGAAAACACGCGGGTGCCCCGAAACTGGGTAACGGGGCAATAAACGAGCGAGAAAACGAACGAACGAACGAACGAACGAGCGAGCGAGCGAGGGCGCGCGCGCGCGCGCGCGTACGTCGCGTACGTTGCCGCCGTCGGCGCGGCGGCCGTGGCGAACGGCATACCGCGACGTTCCCGCTTACCTCCTGACTGATCCGCCAGCCCTGCATCGAGCTCGCGCCGTACGCGACATTCTTTCCCACTTCGTCGCTCGATTCCTTCTTCGTGATCGGCTCCGACAAGTACGCTCCCATCTTTTAAAATACCGGCTGGCCGTCGTGCTACTCCCGCGGCGTCCGCGTTAATGTATCGCTAACGTTTCCGCCAGAAAACAGAACTCACAAGCGTGGCTGCTGCACAAGTCGTTGACTAGCCTCCCATGACCGGTTTGGCTTTCTGTTTTCCAGCCGCGCTGCTGGCGCCAGCTGGGCGCAGACTTTTCGCCGCGCGCGCGCGCGCCCGCGCCTCTTTCGCGCCAAACTTAAAGCAACGTGCGCATGTAGGAGTCGGAAGAGAGTCATCCGTACGACCGGATATGCACTCCGTTCTATTTTCAAGTTCGATAGTCACTGCATTTGTGCGTCGGAGTCGGAGGTCGGAGCCGCGGCGGGGATTGGTTTGGCCAGATTTGTTTCGAAAGAAAGACGCGACCGCGCGTTGTTTCGTTGCCGTTTGGCGCTTGTAACGATGATCGATTTCGAACCGATTTCCTGAATGGGTTAGATAACTAGATGATCCTCGGACCAGTGAGCTATCACTTTGCGAGTTGTTGTCGTTCGAAGCAATTAAATCATATTCGATTTAAGTATCGACTCAAATCTAGAGAATTTATAGAAATTGATTTTATATAAATACTCGAGTAACTTTTACAGAATTTATATATAAATATACACTGAGAAAAAAAATTTTATTTTAAAGGAATATTTATTAAGTGGCTTTTTAACTTTTATTTAATTTAAATAAAAATATTGAATTCTAAGTAAATGTGTGTAAATAGTAAGTAAATAAGTTGTTAGGAGCCACCTAATAAATATTTTTGAGGATTTTTTCTCAGTATTATATATATACATACATATATATAGAATAGAATACTTTATATTTAATACTAAGAAAACATTAATAAATAACAAGTAAAACTTGACCGATAAGTGAATCTCACAAATAAGTCATAGATATAGCCATTTTCGGCCGAGATCGAATTCACTGGATCTTCGCAGTTTAATATTATTTTTGTATAAATTTTATATTTATCCTTAAACAATCGAGCTTAATACTATTTTCGTGCAAATCTATATATTTTAGATTTAACCTTCAATAATCAAACGGGACAAGTATAACAGGACATGTCGAAAGTCGGTCGTTCCAGTATTAGCGCGTCTTTATTAGATATCAAATTCAGAGCAATATATAATTGACCGCATTAATATTTAGTACATGAATATTGAAAACCTATTGCAGTAACGAAGCAAAAGTAGCTCGGACAGCGCCGCTTAATGGTCACTTTCCGAAACACTCTGGAGGGTATATATTAACAAAATACGAAAGTAAATAATGTTACAAGTGTTTTCTAAAATTCATTTTTTAAAAATCGAACAAGTCAGTGTCTAACATAATTCTTCGAGAGAAATATCTCGATTACCGCGGAGTGAATTTAACGTCGGAACCGCGAGGAACATCGAATCACCTTTGAAGTTTGAACGTTCCGCGCTTTGTTCAAAGTGTGGGGGAGGGGGGAGAACAGATTGGTGTCGCGCTCGTCGCGGCGCGGCACGGGAGGGCGGGTGGGATTAAACGGAGCAAGAGGGGCGCGGGGGGGGGGGGGAGTGCGTACGGAGTAGTGCGCCGGGCGCTCGCTCGACTCCGCTCGAGCCCGCCACCCGCCAGTCGTTCGGCGGAGCTCGGGGAGGTTAGATCGGGTTCGCGCACCCCTCCCCCCGGATGCGAATGCTCGGTGGTACGGCACACCGCGACGGTCGACAGACGGTAGCGGATACGCGGCGTGGAGTCGCGCGACTACGTCAGTGCCGCCGTGCCCCGGACTCGCGTCCTTTCTCGCGCGCTCGCTGGCGAGCGTCGATCGTCGTCGTCGCCCCGTCGAGTCGATCTCGCCCTCGCCCCGGTAACGGGGGCGAGCCTCGCTACGCCCGCACATCCCAGCTCGTCGACTCTCATCCCATCGACGTCCCGCCGCCGCCGCCGTCGTCGTCGTCCTCGTCCTCGTCCTCGTCGTCCTCCTCGTCGTCGTCGTTGCCAGACGGACGCGCGGCTGGCCGTACCGTCGCATCGTCGCCGTCGTCTTTCCCCGTCGTCGGCCGTCCGTGCATCGTGCTCGCCGCACCTGTCGATACCGTAACAGCAAAGGGAGCGAGGACGGCAAGCCAGCACCGTGTGTTCCCCGGCCTAGTGACCTGACCTTGGATCGGTCCGACCAGGTAACGTCTGTCACCACTTACTTACTCACTCGCGCCACGCTTCTTCCGTGGCCCGCGCGCGCCGACGTTTTCCTCCGGCTCCGAGAGCGTCTCTCTCCCGGAGATATATATATAACATGTATATGTACATGTATTCGATTATGGCGGGGGTGCGGACGCGCGGGGGAGGAGGGCTTTTGAGATTGGTTGTACGGTAGTATGGCAGCGGCACGCATCCCCGTTAATTCCGGGGTGCTTAACGCGCGTATACGTGTTGCGGATAAGAGGATTTGCCGCTCGCGCTAGTGATAGGCTTAAGTCCGCTCTCGGATATCTATACGCGTGTCTTCACTCTTCGCGGTTTCCCACCGATACAGCGACACCCGCTTCACTCGACAAATGAACCGTTGTAAAATATATCGATCTTAAAAACGTTTCCCGTACCGCGGATTCCCGTGCAGTTTTCGAAACGAGACGGCTGCACGGGCGGCGCGACCGCTGGCTAATTTCTTTTTTAATCGAAATCACCTTGGGGGAAAATTTACTTATCGATCCGAGAGAAACTTTTCGCGGCGGGAAATTTCACCTCTTGCCTTTTTTTTTTTTTTTGCTCGTTTCGCGACGGTCCCGCTGCGGTTCGCGTATGAAGGCGCGCTAAAGCGAAATGCGGGGAAATTTCCTCACGGGCAAAACGAGTGTTCTTAACCACGTATATGTATCTGCAATTAAACTCTTCCCGAGAGCATTTATCCGTTATCACGCGAAGCCGCGAAGCAGGCTATCTAAACTGGCGAGGTATCGCTCCGCCGAGCGTGCCATGGTACCGCGACGTCTGGCCCGACGCGCCGTCATCTACTTGCACCGTCGTTGCAAGTGACTGTCTCTACCACTGACGATCATTAATCTCTCTCGCTGCGTAAAGCATCTCGCCGTGAGAGCCGAACGAACGTTGGTTCCTTTTTACTCTGGAAAACTGAGAGAAGCGAGGAAGAATATTTCACAGGAATCGTGACATTGCAATTACATACACCAGCTCGAAAATAGGATGTACCGTTTCCCACGTTGCTATTACGAATTCTCTTCTAATTTTTGCTATTTAATTGATGTGCAGGGCGATGTACGCCGCGCGGAGATCCGCGGGGTAGGATTTTAAGACGCGTTCGCACTCGGGAATTAATCAAATTGGAACAAATTAAATGATACAGAGAGAGAGAGAGAGAGAGAGAGAAATTATGTAGGAATGCATCGCGTGTGCGCCGACAGGATTTATTCAATTTGCTCGCGGGCGTTTCTATTTCGCGACAAGTTGCGAAGTGCCCGTTGTAGGAGGCCCGGGGATGGCAAGTATCCAAATGCGAGGCAGAATAAGCGCACGTAATCTTACAACGTTGATTTTAATTATCCCGTTTGATCCGCCCATCTAGAAGTCATTATTTGCTCCATGCAAACTGTTGCACGTGCGCCATTCGACGAATTCGCTTCCAATTGAGCTACGCGAAGCTCTAAAAGGATGCTTTTAAACGGAGAAAAAGATGCTTTTACTGCGATTTTAGAAATGTATTATTAGAAGCGACTCTTTCAAGGCTCTTTCTCGTTCTCGTGCTTAACATTAGTATTTTTTACCTCTCTCTCTCTCTCTCTCTCTCTCTCTCTCTCTTAATTAATTAAAACGCCAAAGTTTGCTTAAGCAACCTACATAAATTTCATTTTGGAATCATAAATAAAGCTTAAAGTAAAAGAGAATTTTTGAAAGAGAATTTTTATATAGCCGGAAAAATCACGTTTCTGCTTAGGTCTTCTAGACCTGAGGGTAGTAACCTAGGGTTAAAATAAAGATGTGCGAGGTGAAGAAGGCGTTTCTTTTCGTAGTGATTTGAGATAGGCCCTTTATTTTTTATGATAATTTTAGGAATTGCAATTGTCACCTGTCCGATTTTGAACGCATTTCTGATATTTGACTGAAAGGGGACGGCAAATACGATCCGTTATTTACGTATTCTTACATAAAAATTGCAGTTGTTGGTTTCATAAGATATTTTTACGTCGCGAATAGCCGTTCTTGATATTTCTGGGACAATGAATGCAAGCAGCCTATTATTGTTCCGTCCAATCGCTAGATTTTTTTTTGAAAATGTTGAAGTGTATAAACCTTGTCATTTTCTCGTCGATCCAGAGACAAATTATCTGATATCTTTTATCCCTAGAACGTCTATAGGTCCTCGAGCAATTAGTTTCATGCACGAGATAAACCGTGTTATTTGTGTCATGTAACGAGCATGTTGTGAGAATTTCCTCCGCCTCGTGTTCTTCCTCCCGGATAGATTGCTTAGATTGCTCTTAGTCGAAATCCTCATTCGCAGTAATTACGGTCTGGAATGCCAGGAAAGTAACGGCGATTATATACATATATATCTCTATGTCGAATGAAAATCGTGATACAACCGCGATTTAGTCAAGTTTCATTACAATCTAGAAAAATGTTTATTACAAATTGGAACTAATAATAAAAGTCTTGGCACAGTATATAATGTAAAAGCATTTCGGTCGCGTTTAATTTTGATAATCCTGTTACATGCTCTTCAACAAAATTAAAGACCCACTTTGAATTGGCGGCAAAAATGATGCCATGTAAGTATATTATATAATTTTGCAAATAAGATGATTTACGAACAAGCAATTCTGAAGCCTGCAAACTCCGCTTTTAAACCCCGTGAAGGTTTTCCTCGACGATACTTCTGTTTCAAGTGGTGCCATTATACAAAAGTCGAACGTGCAAAATTGACGAAAAAGAAATTTTGTTAAGTATTTCACTCACACTCTTCCTTGCCTATTGTCGACTCAACTTGATCATAAAGAGAAGTTAAAGAATCGTTATTATTTTCTTGAATTGAAAAATGTGTGACTAGCCGAATTCGAGCCGATTGGCTTCCTAAATATATATTATATATTATCAAGAGATGTAAGAATAGATTACATCTATCAAATATGTATTTTGTTCCCCTATAAAGAAAAAAAAGATAACTTTTATCTTTCATATATTTCATATTTGATTCGAAAGATTATCAGCTGCATTATAGTATGCATTATATATTTCACGAAAAAAATCTTTTTATAAAAAGACCCAAATATGTCAGATTTGGTTTAGGAACAACGAATAGGTATAGGGGAGACCGGGACCCGTTGGCACAAAAGACAAGTTGGCATTGCGTTCCGTTTATATATTTATGGAAATATATATAAGGATGGAAAAGTTATCACAAAATATCTCTTTTATAACAAAGGTACTTTTTCCAAAGTTTTATTTAACTCAAACAAGTATTACAATAAAAAGAGAGAAAACTCCGATTCAAGAGGTGGCAAGTCAATTTTCGAGCGTTTCAAAATATTGTATCAATGTTCTTCAGCTTGAGAAGTAAATCAAAATGACGTATTATTAGTTAAAAGAAAAGTTTCTGTTTTATTTTAAGTAACAACAGTAATTTAATGTAATACTATGACTGTACGAGTAATATATAAAGTGACTCATGATAATTAGTTGTTTAAAAAATCAAATGCCGAAATTGTGAAAACTGTGCCAATGAGCTGGTCTCCCCTCTGTATCTGTACGATCTTGACGTCTGTTGTGAATCGATAGTTTACAAATTATAGTGCGAAAAGTTAGAAGTCAGTATACTTATACTATATACTCTTATTTTTATCACTGGATTTGATTAAACATGATCCACCGATAACAGACCAGTGAGACATTTTAACATAACATTGAATGTTACGTTCGAATAGATAACGACTTAAACGGTTAAACCAGTAAATCTTTTCGAGCTAGATAAAGAATCGGCGATTATTGGACTTCCGTTTTGCTTTTCGCGCGAATATAAAAAGAATAATTTGATATCAATGGCGACGGATATACTTGTTTGACCTTTCGCGCGGAGACTGTTCTTCCCGTTGTCTTTGTGACCGCCTCTCTCACGTGCAGAAGCTTTAATTAACAGTTGGCATTTTACTAGATACGAGTCCATGTCGAGTTTTCCCTGCGTTATTGCAGTATCGTCTCGCAAATCATGTAAACTAGTTTATTGTTCCGCTGCGAGCTTCGTATCGCGAAAATGGTACAGCTGCCGTGTTGCGGCGCGTTGCGCCGCGCCGCCCGGAAAATTAATCACGCGCGTGGGCGAATATGTTTTTTTCCATATTTATTATTTGGGAAACAATGCAACTAGCGTCACTACCGTTGTAGTTCGTTGACAGATATTGATAAAAATATGCACGGTTCGCGCAATCGAATTATAAATTAATCTCGGCAAACACAACATCTGGAATTACATTCGCATTTCTATTAAAATTCTATCCATTATTTGTTATTTCATTATCTCATTATTATATATATATATATATATTATTTCATTGAATTTGCATTACACGTAGGCGTTATTTTACGTTGTTATTTTACGAGCGCGGTTGTTAAACTTGGCTGCACGGTCTTCGGCTCTCTACACAGGTTCTCGTATGAAAATTACCACGTCTATAAAATGTTCGTTTATCTTACGAAGAATTATAAGACTCGGCGAGCTGCTTGCGAAAATGATTAACTCTATCACGCGAGAACAGAAAAGAACACTTAGGCCCGTATTTATAGTCGTGTTTCTGCTGAAGAACTGTGCCAGAACCAGCATCGAGAAAATTAATCATGCACGTTGGCGAATATATTTTTTTCCATATTCATCGTGACTTATTTGTGATCTAATAAATAGAACTTGACAATCAATTTGATATTCACCATGTCATATTTGCAATTGGGATTTAATAGAGGAGATCAAATTAAGTTTATCTTGAGATGTAACCTAAATTTTCTGGTTTTAGCGGTGTATCGATTCTCGAGAAATCAGGTATTATTTAAAAAAGAAACACTTTATATGACGTATTTATGATCTAATAAATAGAATTTGACAAAATCAGTTTGATATTCACCGTGTCATATTTGTAATTGGGATTTAACTGAGGAGATCAAATAAAGTTTGTCT